AAAAATGTAAAATTAGATTTCACTAGTATACCCCCAGAGTGGTTTAAAGATAGCATTTACCCAGATTTAGCACAACATAGGATTATTATTTCTTTTGATGAATTACTTAGTCCGGGAGAATCAGCACGAACATGAATGCCTACCAAACAAGACATCCAACAATACAGAGGAGCAATAATAGCCGAGCAACAGTTATTTAATGATGATCGTCTGACCCTCCTGTACCAGTCTAAATTTATCAAGGTGTATTCAGAATCCACATCCAGGAGACCAGATGATATATATGAATACAGGATTAGCACTACAGGAGCAAAAGTTTTTGATGAAATCTACAATCAGATAGCAGAACAGATTACAGCAGAAGATAATGACAACTCATACTGGAATAGCTTAGGAGAAGAAGAGCTACACAACATAGATAACATGATGGATGCATGAAGACCACGTGAAGAATCCATCCAGCAGAATAGTCGCCAAACTATTTGGCTCCATACGGCCAGTACAAAGCAACATATGAAAAGAAGAAACATTTTGGTTTCATCCGGCTAGCAGAAGCAGAAGGATTCCCTAGGAAATTTAGATATGAATAAGGGCATTATTGTCCAACCACTTTAATTTTGTCCTTCTTTATAAATACTGTACCCATTTTGGGTTTATTTATAAGTCTCCCTTACTTATATTCATCAGATTGAGCCTATACTTTTTTCATCAATGATTATTATCGTTTATTAAAAATAAAAAAACTCCCCAACAGAATTAGTCAAAAAATTATTATTTTGGTTAAAAAAGGAGTCAAACATTGTTATAAAAACTATGAACTCATATTTTGAAATTTCTGTTTTTTCTGTTAAATTCATCTGCGAAAAATTTTCTCGAACCAAATTTATTTCAAAGTTCTGACCGCACTCCTAACGGCTCCTAGTTTGACCCCACGAACCCTAACTGCCCCCTCAAATCCTTGCTTTGACTTCCCACTTCACTCCAGCCCGTTACTTTCTGTCACATTTTTATATAGCCGTTGGGAGCCTCTGTTTCTGCCTCTGCCTCTCTCTCTCTCTCTCTCTCTCTCTCTCTCGCAACAACGACAACAATCCGCACAACAATGGCGAGCTCAGAACTCCTCCTTTCTCATTCTGAGTCTACAGCGGTTACTGCCACAGTAGATCCCATTACCGCTTCTTCTTCTCTGAAGCGGAAGAGACCCCCCATGATTGAGATCCCAAACGTCTTGCAAGAAATTAAAACCGAAAAGCTCGGAGATTTCACGCCAGAGAACGACGCCGTCTGCTTCAGTGGGATTGGAGTTGGGGTCTCCGCCGCCAAAGGCAAGAAAAAGTTTATGGAAGATACCCACAAGATAGTTTCTTGCTTACAAGGCAACAACTCCAAGAAGGTAAACAAATTGCCCAAATCTTTATGGTTTTTCCTTATTTATATGCTTATATATCTACTATCTTTTAGAGTTATTTTTTATTTGTAATTGGTTTTTGCGTTGTTCATGTGTAGGGTTTCTTTGGGGTGTATGATGGGCATGGTGGCAAGAAGGCTGCAGATTTTGTTGCTGACAATTTGCACAATAATATTCTTGAAATGATGGAAGTGCATACAGAAATAGAAGAGGCGGTTAAAGCTGGGTATCTGAAAACAGACCAGGAGTTCTTGAAACAGGTAATTGCAATTCTGGATTCTTGATTTGATGTTCACGACTGATTAATGTTAGAGATGTGAGCCGTTAATCTGACATTTAAAATGTTAAAAAGTGAGGATTCGGTCCAATTCGTTTAGAAAACTTCATTGATGATTAGTCCTGATTCATAGAAAAGAAATGGTGTTCAGCGCATATGAATTGATTCCCATCTGAGTGCGTTTCATTAATTGTTGAAGGTAATGTTGTTAGCTCTGAATAAATGTAATATTAGGCATATTTTATTACCAATTGGAGGTAATTCGCTGACAATGCTTGGTCTTCTTTCCTGACCTTTTGTATTATGGAAATCTTTATTGATGGCTGCGAGTAAATGCAGGGTTTAGGAAGTGGTACCTGCTGTGTCACAGCTATAATTGAAGGGCAAGAGGTCGTTATTTCAAACTTGGGGGATTGCAGGGCTGTTCTTTGTAGAGGTGGAGTGGCGGAGGCTCTTACCTTGGATCATATGGCAGAACAGGAGGACGAACGCAAACGAATAGAGAATGAGGTTTTTAACATAATCATTGTCACAATTACATTACATGGTACTGACATACAAGAGACAACTTAAAGTATTTGATGATAATTGTTGATATTGTGATCAGGGAGGATATGTAGAGTTCCACCGAGGAGCATGGAGAGTTCATGGCGTTCTTTCTGTTTCTAGAAGCATTGGAGATGCTCATCTGAAAGACTGGGTGCTGGCTGAGCCTGAAACAAAGATCCTACAGCTCACTCCAGATATGGAATTTCTTGTATTGGCTTCGGATGGACTGTGGGGAGAGGTATGCAGAGAGATTTTCATGCATGAAAAAATCCATGTTAAATTATGGACTTATCTTTAAAACAGGCACATTCTTATCTTAGCTCATCTTAGGTCCACCTTAATAGCTCTGAATTTATTTTATATTGACTTGAATTTTGCATAAATAGGTCTTTGTGATCTTAGCAGATACGCTGGTTCAGGAGTTGGGATGGCATATGTTTCAGGATAAAACTTAGGTTAGGTCACCGATATTAGATTTAGGTCACCGATATTAGGTTAGGTCACCGATATTAGATTTATTAGTTTCCATTTATTTTCACTTTTGTAGCATTAGCATCAACGTTAATGGCATATCATGTATATATCCATGTAGCATGAATGAGGTATCCGAGCCTACATTCCTGTTGAAAATTATGAAAGTCAGTCCTTTCAAACTTTGATGTTGATGGTTTTTCCTAGGTTGGCAACCAAGAAGCCATTGATACGGTGACCCGATTATGTTCAGTTCAGAAAAAATTGGGACCCTCAGGAGATCTACTGAAGGATAATGTGGAAGACTATGGCTGTGTTAGTGTGAGCCCTTCATCAAAGTTACGAAGAATTTCGCTAGTTAAGCAACTTAAAGGCACACAATCTCCAGGCTACAAGAAGACAGTCAATAGCTGGAAAGAGAGTGAGAATGACTTCCCGAGTGAAAATGAGAGCCCTCCATCGAAGTCAAGAATATCCTTGGTAAAGCGAGTAAACATGAAGAATGAATCTCCCATAAAAGAGACTCAATCTCCAGGCTATAAGAAGACTGACAATAGCTGGAAAGATAGTGAGAATGACTTCGCGAGTGAAAATGAAAGCCCCCCATCGAAGTCAAGAAAAATATCCTTAGTAAAGCGAGTAAACATGAAGAATGAATCTCCCATAAAAGATACTCAATCTCCAGGGTATAAGAAGACCGTTAATAGCTGGAAAGATCGTGAGAATGACTTTCCAAGTGAAAATGAAAGCCCTCCATCAAAGTCAAGAAGAATATCATTGGTAAAGCGAGTAAATATGAAGATTCAACCAGCCTCCGGTGGACTGGTGGCTGCTTGTAAGGAGCTTGTGAACCTTGCATTGAGTAGGGGTAGTTTGGACGACATCACTGTGATGATAATTGATCTAAATCATTTCAGATGCCAGCTCAGTTGATTGGCATTTGTGCTCTTGCAGTACGCCTTTCTCCTGTAGTTAAGGAACCTTGCAGAAAGCTATACAGAAAGCTGTGCAGGGTCGAATTTCTAGTAGCAACTTTTCTCTTTCTTAAAAGCTCAATGATAATGCTAATGGCCACTCTTTCGTTAGTACTTCTTTCTCACCTTTGATGTATCTGCCATCTGTATATTAATCTTGGAATTGCAGTACCGAATATTAAGGTGATAAATGAAGCTTCGCTTGGCTGCGTATGAAGATCTTTGTGTTCATATATGAAAAGTGAATCACTGAGAACTAAAATCATAAATGAAGCTCTAATTATCGTTCAGAAAGATAACAAAGCTTGATTGTTCGAAAAAGTCATTAATTTGCGTCATCAATTGTGCTCTCATATGGAAAGAGCTAATGAACTGCTATTGTTCCCCCCCACCAACTTCTCTAAATACAGAGATTGTAAATCTGCCTCCCTAATCCCTTGGCTTTTGTATTTTACTCTCTTAGATAGATCAACATCCCTAGCTATCATTTGCCTGTATCTTCGTTTTCCTCGTCACGCCTCCCATGTTCAAACTACAATGAACTGAGTTATACAGTTTATATCTGCATAATCTTACTCAAACTCAAGAGTAGTGAAGAATTCCTCTCATTTTCTGCACCCTGCCACGCATGTGGAAGTATAATAACCCACATCGTAAATCCAAATTATATATATATATATATATATATATATTTTACTTCGTTAGTCTCCTTTACCCCACCCATATGCTCTCCCCTGATAAGAATTTTAGTTCTTTATATTCTGGTACACTGTCACATGAACTTCATATGTGATGAAAAAGGGGTAGTTGCTTTTTTCCATGCATGAAAAAGATAGATTTATGGGGATCAAACTCATCTTCAACCCAAACCACTTCCAAGAAGAAAAAAAAGGTGGGTTTTGTTAAAAATAGAAAGGGCAAAACAGATTGGAAAGCTTGCACGGCTTAGATGCATGTAAAACGTGTTACTCTTAAGTTCACCCTCCATCCTTACTTCTCTCTGCCTCTAAAGACTGCCAGTTTGGAAATTGAGTCATTAGCCTGTGGCTCGATTGATAACATGCTGCCAAGAAAAGCTTCGTGCCAAATCTTATGGGTGAGATCTTAGCCAAACCAACTCATTCATCTTTGTCTCTCAATGCCTTGTAGTCTGATTAATTTGATCAAGACTATACATATATCCTCTTCATTTCTTCATATAAATCAATCACTTTTCTTATAAATCATTGAGTAACCATGCATGATCCAATTGGAATTCCTGCTTGCTTTTCATCCGGTACTCAAAGGCCGGTTGATGATCCAAATCCAACCAGCGTGATCAGGGCAGGACAGAGTGTGTTCATGTCAGTGTACAGCACAAAGATAGCTGGTCAGTGCCGTCTGATCACCATCACTTGGTGCAAGAACTTGTTGCTACATGGCCTCTCTGTTTCTGTTCAAGGCCAATATGGAGACGAAGATTATCGGTGTAAGGTTGAGCTGAAGCCGTGGTACTTTTGGAGGAAGCAAGGCTCCAAGCAATTTCTGGTGGATGGCAGCACAGTTGATGTGGTCTGGGACCTAAAAGCGGCAAAATTCAACGGAGAAACCGAGCCGCGATCGGACTATTATGTTGCTATTGTGTGTGAAGAGGAGGTGGTGTTGCTTGTTGGTGATCAAAAGAAAGATGCATACAGAAGAACAGGTTGCAGGCCATCACTCATAGAACCCATCTTGGTTTCAAGGAAGGAACATTTGTTTGGCAAGAAGAGATACTCAACAAGAATCAAGTTCCATGAAAAGGAAAGCTTTCATGAGATTTTGATTGAGTGCAACAACATCTCTGCCACTGGGGCGGATCCAGAACTGGAGATAAAGATAGATGGGAGCATAGCTCTCCATGTCAAGCACCTCCATTGGAAATTCAGAGGTAATGAGTGTGTTGATATAAACAAAACTAAAGTTGAAGTTTATTGGGATGTTCATGATTGGCTCTTCAGCTCTGGGCCAAGGCATGGAATGTTCATTTTCAAGCCAATATCATCTTCATCACCAGAAACTGCGCAGTCAACCCAAGAACAAGAGTTGACTGAAAAGTCAAGTTGTGCAGCAGAAGAAGAGGATGAGAAGGCAGGTGGGTCATCTGTATTTTCCTTATTCGTTTATGCTTGGAAGGTGGAATGATGATTGTGTTCAAAGTGGTTCATTAACACACGTTATTGAAGTGATTAATTAGCAACATTATTGCATTAAACATGAGCAAAGGGAATTAAGGGAAAGGGATTAATTAAGGCTCCACGTTCATGCACATTTTGGATTTGGAGGGTAGACCCCTACTTCTACAGTGAGGTTCCACATACGAACAGATGGACCCAACTGGTTTGGGATTTTGCTTGCTACAGCTGGAATTGAATAATATGGAACATGATTAGACAGGGCCAGATTGGATCACATTTACATGCCCAATAATCCCCCAATCCCAATCGCCCAATTACCCATTTTCGGTTTATAATTGCTCTATGACGTATATGTGGATCATCTTTATTTTTTATTTTTAGTTTCCTTACTTTTTCTGTTTTTATTATTGTCGTCGAGTGTTTAAAGAAAACTCTTAGTAATGTTGTATAAATAAATGAGAGTCAAATTCTTATCGCGGATTTGAAATATTTACGATCGATCACTTGAATTATAACATATTTTGTGTATAACCAAAGCAGAGGATCCGAACTCATAATTTGGATACAAACTAGATTTAGATTCCTAGTCAAGGATCTGACCATCCAATCTTATGATGACTGCTTTTGGGCAGGCCACACCCATAAATAGACATGTTGGCTAAGTTACCAAAAGTGAAAACCATACGAAATAAAGAAATAAAAAAAGGTAAAAGTCTCGGGGTTGGCCCATAACAACATGCCTACCACGTGACATGAATGTAACCTAAAAGACAGGAATAGATTCCTGCATGAGATGGATGGGCCGTTGGTGGCCCATATACTTTTGCTTCATATTCTTGTTTGGCAAAAAAACAAGCCCAATAATTTATTCTAAATGAAAAGGTTGTTCACTTCTCACTTGACACTTTTGTAAAGTCCTTTCAGAAGATGAAAAAGGCATGTGGAAAGGAAAAAGAAGAAAACATCCCACAAGAGATTAGTGATTCAGTGGTCCATTCTACTTCTACGACAGGCCATTTTCAAAGGGTTTGGCGGGTCCGAAAAGGAGCCTTTTACAATTTGTTGGAATATCCACTTGTTCGCGGCCTCAGTGTAGTGGACCCTGTCCCAGTTGATCCGAACCGTCGGATCATTGCATGATTTCGTGATGACCGTCTGATGGTCTTCTTGGTCCCACATTTCGCGTACCTGTTGTAATTATATTTCCCACCATGACCGCAACATGCTATAAGGGGATTCTCAAACCCTACATTACAAATTCAAAATTGTGACTTGCATTGTAGGGTGGATGCAAAATTCATCTAAAGTTAACAAACTCACAAATTGAGGTAAAGTGTTACCATATTTTTTGGTTTGGGTGATAAGGGTGCGCTTTACTGAGTAGACATCAACATAGGTGATTGCAGCCAATGGAAGATCTTTCTTAAGGTGAAGCAAAGCCTCATTTAGTCTTTGGTTGAAATATTGGGCCACCTCATTTAACTGATCTGCACACCCATAATTATCTATTTGGGCCGGGTTGATGAGGAAGCGGTCCAGAACATAAGGGAGGCAGCCCAGTGGGCCTGTGTTATGTATCCAAAATGATCTTCCTCCTTGTTCGTATACAATTTGTACATATAGAAGCAAACATACCAAATGAATTGTTGTATGGGTTTGCAGTTTAAGTGGTTAAGAGCATTTATCCCTGCATTCGAAATCCTAGATCTGAAATCCTAGAAGGTAACCTAAAGAAATATATATATATATATATATATATATATATATATATATATGATCAACCTTAATGGTATGAGAGAGCTGGCTCAGTACATCTGGAACATAAGCCTTGACTTGTTCTGTGGTAAGGTTGAGTTTGTAGCCAGCAGTGAGATCATTTTGGCCAATGTCAAAGGTATAAAGGGCTTGAGAAAAATACTCTTTCTTGGGCAGCAATTTACCAAATACTTCACCTATTTGCCAATTTTGAAACAATCTCAACTTCATCAACCAACAATTTTGATGCAAGAAATGGTAAACAAAGGAAGTGGAAGTAAAATGAGTAACCTTCTTTTTGATATATTTGGGATCTTGTACGGAAGTCCAAGAATTGAACAAGCTGCACATGTAAAGAAATGGGGCTGACCCCACTTTGTGATATGGTTGTGTTTGGGGGCCTTATGGTTGATCCAGCTGTGGCAAAATTGGCTCCATGGCTGAAGTTTGAGCCCACCGAGTCCAGAAAAGCCCTCAGATGAGGCAATCTCAAGCTTTCCGCTTTGAAACAAGGAGGTTAGAAGAAGATGTAGGTCAAAACTGCTTTGTGGATGGAAATGGACGGAAGTGATAAAGTGAGAAAATTTTAGCAATTTTTAGAGATTCAGAGGTTAAGTGAGAAAATTTCAGTTTAAGAAAATAAAATAAGACCGAGCATTCGTTTTAGGGGTGAAATAGTAACTAAGTCTAATAATAATCAGTAAATTTAGACATGTGAAAAATAAAAAAAAGGACTTCAGATTCAGGTCACGAGTGTGTCACTCTCCGCATGTTTGATGCATTATTTAATCTCCATGCTTTGGTATAGGATTGAAGAACAGAGCCCAATACTTTTGGCGTACTTGGCATATTGTTTTTAACTAAAAGAATGCATGCAAAAGCTGAATTTTTGTCCTGTTTTTCAACTTGGTAATGATAATATTGGTGGATCCAAATCCTTCATGAAATGGAGTCACATGCAGCACAGTTTCAAATCTGATGCCAGTAAAATCCAAAATGAGTTTCGTTTTTCAAGTTTGCCAAAACCCTTTCTGCATCTAATAGGATATGTCCTCGGGAATTGAGAAAACGACCATAACATTATAGCAAAGGGAAAACAGAAACAGAAACAAAAACATGACATTGTTTTGTAAAGTTGGTGAAGAGAGAGAGATTTACTTGACCAAAAAAAGAGAGAGAGAGAGAGAGAGATTTGAGGAGCAAAGAGAAGTTGCAGAGGAAGTACCTATGAAGTCAATTAGAAGACGCCCATCAGAGTAGCGTCCGGATGGGGTGTGAAAATAAGTCTCTCCATTTGGGTAAGGGGCTTGTCCGAAAGCTGCAGACAGGCCCCCGGTGTCTGAGTTTGAGTCTCCAAAGTTGAAAATGGCCGGGAAAGAGCATGATCTTACAGAAATGCTAGGACTCGGAAGCACTAATGTTGCCCAAATTACAAGGCCAAAGAGAATATGATGATCTCTTAGTCTAAGGAGGAAGCGAGTTTCCATATGTGTAGACTATTGAGAGAGAACTATAGTGGATGAAAGAAGATACTGTAGAGAAAATGAAGAATGTGACAGTTGGGTCTTTCTTTATCTGTTTCATGCTTAATTTAATTTAATCCATCAAGTATATGACAAAACTGATCCATCAAGAAAATAGAAAAAAGAACACCGAAAAATATTATGGTGGCCTTGAGTATTTTATCTAAATAGTGAAAAGGAGGGACACTTGATCTAATTTTCAATGAGCTTGCTGCTGCCTATGGCAAACCATTTTCAATGGAACTGGTGGGTCAGAAAATGAACCATCTACAATTTGATCAAAGACCCTTTTGTTAGCTGCTTGAGTGTAATGAAACCCATCCCAATTTACCCAGAGTGATGGGTCTTGGCATGCCTTTCCCACCAATATTTCCCTGCCATGCACCTTAATCTTTCCACCACAGTGCAAGTTGTTGTTGTACTTCCCTCCTTGGCCACAGCATGCTCTTATTGGTTGCTCAAATCCTGCAGTGTATTTAGCTCAACAAATTCAAATCACTAGTCCATCCAAATCACAGGTGTATGTTCAAGTTTAGCTTACCATGTTTTTTGGGTTGGCTAATGAGGGAGTATTTGGCTGAGTAAATATCAACATATGTGATTGCAGCCAATGGTAGTTCTTCTCTTAATTGGACCACAACTTCTTTCAATCCATGGTTGAAAAACTGAGCAACTTCATTGTAAGGTGTGGCACATCCGGCCTTGTCCACCTGAGAGGCTAATACCGGTAGGCGGGCCAATACATAGGGGAGACAGCCTACAGGACCCGTATTGTGTATCCAAAAGTATCTACCTCCTTGATCGTATACATTCTGTATATATGTAACAAACAACCACTTGAGCTTCAAATGAAGGACTATAAAGAAAACCAATCCATTTAGTGAAGTTATAAAATGTTGTTTAGGGTTTAGCTTGTTGGATTGCTCATCACCTTGACAATGCTTTTGAACTGATTGAGGACATCAGGAACATAAGCTTTGACTTGGGCAGTGGACATGTTGAAGAAAAAGCCGGCTGCTAAATCGTTCTGACCAATATCAAAGGTGTACAATGCACGAGAGAAATCTTCTGCTTTAGGCATAAGTTGTTCAAAAACTCCACCTACATTGCAAATCATCTTCTCTTTTGAATGCACACAATAAGGCAAGTTTTTCCAACCAATAAATAAGAAGATGTATATTATCAGTATATAAGTAGCATTTGTGACCTTGACTGCGAACAATTTGGGATCTTGGAGGAAAATCATAGAACTCGTCGTATTGAACATCCAAGGAAATGGGGCTAAACCCACTCTGATGAAGAGTTGTGTTTTGAGGTCTGATGGTTGAGGCTGCCGTCGCAAAGTTGGCTCCATGACTGAAGTTGCTCCCCACAGAATCAAGATATGCGCTAAGAAATGGCAATCCGAGGCTGTTAGCTGAAAACAGAGGATTCAATTCAATCAAGGCAATATTATTACATTGGATAATCTGAGTAGGTTAATTTTCTTCTTTCACTTGATGCCAGCTGAGATGCCATACATATTTTGTTTTGGCATTTTTGGTAGCTTCCAAACTCATTCAATTATGTTCACCCAAACCCAAGTCATGAATTCAGTTTAGTGGTCAACAAGCAAGGAGTACATGAATTCTTCATTTTATATTAGTTTCAAAGTTGAGGTACTAGCCATCATATTTTTGTGACAAAACCCACTTTCTGTTTACTGGTTTATGGAAGAAGATGGTAATTAAAATGAAGTACCTATAAAATCAATGACAAGGCGGCCATCGCAGTAACGACCGGCTGGGCCGTGGAAGTAGGACTCTCCATGGGGTGGACGAGCCTGGCCAAAAACTGCAGAGAAGCCACCGGTGTCAGAGTTTGAGTCCCCGAAGTTGAAAATAGCCGGGAACTTGCATGAAGTTGAGGCCAAAACCAAGCATGGTGCCAAGCTCACTGAGAGTGACACCAAAATAGCGACAACCAGTGTTTTTGAGAAATGCGATTCCATTATCATGTATGGGACACAGAGACTGAGGGAGAACATGAAATTTTTATAGTCTTAACAGAGAAGATGAAAATGGAGACTAGGAGGGCCATTAGGTCACCACTTAAGGGTCTTTCTTTATCTGTTTCTTGCTTAAGTTAAGGGATTACATTGACTGACCCTGAATCCAAGCAAAAAGAAGAATTAAAAACAAAAGATTCTAATGGCCTCAACATATTTTATTTGAGTACAGAAAAGGGTCGCATGTGATCTAATGAGCTTGCTGCCTATGGCAAGCCCTTTTCAATGGAATTGGTGGGTCTGAAAATGAACCATCTACAATCTGATCAAACACCCTTTTGTTAGCTGCTTGAGTGTAATGCACACCATCCCAATTCACCCAGAGAGATGGGTCTTGGCATGCCTTTCCCACCAATTTTACTTTGCCATGAACCTTAGCCTTTCCTCCACATCCAATGTGCAAGTTATAATTGTACTTCCCACCATGACCACAACATGCTCTCACTGGTTCCTTAAATCCTGCAATGTTTTGTATCACATGTCAACAAACTCAATCACTAATTAATCCACCCCATAAAGGAAGCGATTTCGATTTAACAGGAACTTACCATGCTTTTCGGGTTGGCTAATGAGGGAGTACTTGGCTGAGTAAACATCAACATATGTGATTGCAGCCAATGGCAGATCTTTTCTTAATTGGAACACAGCCTGTTTTAATCCACGGTTGAAAAATTGAGCAACTTTATTGTAAGGTATGGCACATCCGGCGTTGTCTACCTGCGCGGCTAATACAGGTAGGCGGTCCAAAACGTATGGAAGACAACCAATGGGACCTGTATTGTGTATCCAGAAATATCTACCTCCTTGACCATATATGTTCTGTGTATACATAGCAAGCACATCATTTTCAAATGAATGAAAAGCCAAATTAATCACAGTTTGGATTGTTAATTACCTTGACAATGTTTTTGAACTGATTTAGGACATCAGGAACATAAGCTTTTACTTGGGTAGTGGACATGTTCAAGAACAAACCAGCCGTTAAATCGTTCTGGCCAATATCAAAGGTGTACAATGCACGAGAGAAATCTTGTGCTTTAGGCATCAGTTGTTTAAAAACCCCACCTGCACATACATTGCAATTGATTTTCTGGTTTAGCATACAATCATGCAAGTTTTTTTAGGTAGGCTAGAAAGTACATAAGGAGAAATGACCTCGATTTCGAGCAACTTGGGATCTGGGATGAAAATCATAGAACTCATTGTATTGAACGTCCAGTGAGATGGGGCTAAAACCACTCTGGCGAAGAGTTGTGTTCTGGGGTCTGATGGTTGAGCCAGCCGTAGCAAAGTTAGCTCCATGGCTGAAGTTGCTCCCCACAGAATCAAGATATGCGCTAAGAAATGGCAATCCGAAGCTCTTAGCTGAAAACAGAGCATTCAATTCAATCAAGCCAATAGTATTAGATAGTGGATGTTGGATAAGTCTGAAAACAGTGGCATTTTTGGTAGATTCCAAATTATGTTCATCCAAAATTACACGTGACATTCTGGTAGTTTCCTAGTGAAGTGTCGGTGGATTGATTCCCAAAACTTTTAAAGCATCATTTCCAATTATATATCTATCATATGTGAAAATGATTGGTAAGCTAGTACATGAAATTTATCATTTATCATTATTAGTTTCAGACTGTAGCTTAATAGTGAAGATTGAAGTACCTATAAAATCAATGACGAGACGGCCATCGCAGTAACGACCGGCTGGGCCGTGGAAGTAGGACTCTCCATGGGGCGAGCGAGCCTGGCCGAAAACCGCAGACAAGCCACCGGTGTCGGAGTTTGAGTCACCAAAGTTGAATATAGCCGGGAACTTGCACGAAGTTGAGGCCAAAGCCAAGCATGGTGCTAAGCTCAGTGAGAGTGACACCAAAATAGTGACAACTAGTGTTTTTGAGGAATGTGGCTCCATAATCATATGTCAGTGAGTCTGTAAGAGAGAGAGAGAGAGAGAGAGAGAAAAGAGGAACAGGGTAATTATTCTAAGCAAAACAGACAGTAGATATAGTGCTACATATGATATAGATAAGCTAGTGACAGAAGAATGAGGTGTATGATCGGCTAGAGAAGGTAATAAACTGTGGAGATTGGAACAGAATTGTTGAAAAGGAAAACAATTTAACAAATAATGATGCCTTATTAGAAATCAAATCAGCAGGACTTTCTCATTTTGCTTTTTAACCTTGAAATGGGCTGAGCAAAAGCTTTCGTAACTGAATTTGTCACCTTTATCAGCTTTGACGGGAAGCGCTCTGGCCTTTTCCAAGAAGGATCTTTTGGTTTCAAATTTCAATTCAACTTTGGCCATACGAGAGTCTATAAAATTTGAAGATCCCATTAAAGACAACATGTTGACTCCATGGCCCAATGGATAAGGCGCTGGTCTACGAAACCAGAGATTCTGGGTTCGATCCCCAGTGGAGTCGCTTATTTGCATAATGATTTTTTTTTTTCTTTTTTTCTGCTCATTCTATCTGGCAGCCAGGTATATATATAATTATATATTGCAGTAGGTCAAGGCTCACCTATCTGATAAATACTTCCCCATCCCCGTTTCATCGCCCCCTATTTCTATATCTTTTTCTCGATCTTTCTTTTATGTATCATTTTACACATTAAGAGTCTAGAAAATCTGTCGTTTCTTTGTTTCTCTTTTGGTGTGTGTGTTTGGCATGCCAAGATTACAAAGACTGAAGATGAGATATGATTCAAAGGAATGCTGCAATGCCCAACCTGGCCTTAGAAAATCCATGCCCCACTCAAAAAGGTTTAAATTCCACATAACATATACCAAATCTATAAAAGAGAGTTGTGTACTTGGAAGTAAAATCAAAAGTGCGGAGGCTTGTGGCATGCTTCAGTGATTGAAACTGGAGGGTCTGAAAATGCGCCGGCCATAAGTCGGTCGGCTAGCCATTGCTTTGCAGCATCAGAGTAGTGCACCTCATCCCAACTAATGTACTATGAAGGATTGCTACAGAGGGCCTCAACTTCAGTGCCATTAACAATAGTTTTTATCCCACAATGGACGACGGAATCACCATAACTTCCACAGCATTGAGCTAGAGGACTAGTAAAACCTGCACATTCCACACACCAGGAAAGAAAGGGTTTTGGACAGGCCAAAGAATGAAGCATAGGAACACTAGCTAAAGGCATGAACTGGAAGAAACTTACCATGCTTCTCTGCTTCGCTGATGAGTGTGTACCTTGCGGTATAGAGATCGACATAAGTAAGAACTGCCTCTGAAAGTTGGGCCCTTAGTTTAAACACCCTATCCTTGAGCTGTCTGTTAAATTCTTCAGCCACCTCATTGTGAGGCTTCCAGCAACCGTTTTGGTCTAGGTCGCCAGGTTTTGGCAGTTTATATGCAAGGGTTGAAGGCAAGCAGCCAAGGGGACCTGTGTTGTGAATCCAAAAAACTCTTGCTCCTTCTTGGTATAGTTGCTGCAAAACTTCAATATCATTATTTTGTTTGAGAATATAATCTTGCAAGGACAGTTCAAAGTTCAAAACAGATTTATTATGCAATTCATTGACAAGACATCAATTTTTTTAACACAACACGTTAGGCATTTCATGTGATAACTGTGTCGAAAAGAAACTAGAGAAATTGTTCCTGTTTTCATGGTTACCAATTTTCTACTCATAGATTACAGGTTATAAGTCAAACATTTAAAAAGAAAAAAAAAATGAAGACTTTGTACGGCTGAAAATATGAATTTTAAGATGGTCGAGTTACGCTTTGGTTGCCAAAACCTATTGCAGCTCAAGAAGAAAGGACAGCTGCTAATCATTACCTCTATTGTCAAAGCTAACTGCCCAGTGATGATGGAAATCGATGCCAGCACTTCGTCCATAGACTCCAACCTTAATCCAGCATGAAGATCGTTTTGTCCAATGTCTAATGTGTACAAGGCCTTGGAGAAATCACTTGGTCTTGGGAGGCTGGTCCTTTTATCTGAAAACCAATCCATAATGGAGTGCAACATAATGAATTAATGGTTCAAGTAATTTCCTCTATAACTCTTCTTCAGCAAACATATAGTCTAACCTTCAGTGAAAACCTCATTTACACGTGCTTTGAACTGCGCAAATTGTGAAAGCTGTAGGTTAAGAGAGATGGGGCTATATCTTGCTTCAAACATCCTGCCATCTAAGGGCTGAATTGTAGATCCTCCGGTTGCGAAACTTGCTCCATGATGGAAATTTAATCCGAGAGAATCCAGATAAGCACTAAGAAATGGGAGACCCAACTTATGAGCTGCAAGATTGGCAAAAGAAGTTCATAAGACGAAGGCAACTAGACATATTCACATATTGTACATTATGCTTTGGTACAATAATAATTACAAAGCATGGTGAGGAACAGAATGAGCACATAAGACAGTAAAATCCTGCATTAAAAAGATGTTCCAACCTCTAAATAACTAGGCACTGAAAGAAAATTGCATACAGGAGATACAGAAGAGCATCCAATCCATCACAACAGTCCATGTTCTAACCTATAAAATCGATGATGAGACGCCCATCTGAGAACCTGCCTACTGGTTTACCAAAGAAGGTATTGCCATAGGGGTTAGGAAGCCGAAAAAATGTTGCTGACAAACCACCCGTGTCGGAATTTGAATCACCAAAGTTGTAGATTGCTGGAAATTGACAAGCACTACTTGATTTATCTTGTGTTCCAAGGCCCAAGAAGATTGAAAGAGCACCAACTAAAACAACTCCAACTGGCACTGCTTCAACACTCTTCTTCAGTCCCCAGGGCCCTCTCCACCATCTACTGATAGTAATAAACCTCACACGGTCCATATGAACCTCTTTCTGCTTCTCTCAGACGAAGAGATTTATCATATAATTTGATGTGAACCATATCAATTAGAAGTTCCATAAGACAAGAAGAATCATCACAAGGAAAAAATAGTAGCATTCTTCATATCATTCACAAGGAAAAAAGATGGGGCTGAAACTTCACCTTGATCAATAGGTGATGGTTGTTTCTGCAGAAGTTGTACTTCTCTTTGTGGTTAATTAGTGGAAGAAAATAAGCTGGTTTTAGGCTTTATAAAATCGGTAGAGGAGAGGAGCCTTACAAGTTATATATTTTAGGTCAAGTGGGCTGCTAGCAGAATTTGACAAATGAACCATAAGAAATATAAAAAAAACAAAGGCATTTTGGTGTCATCATCATCATCATCATCATAAACATGATTGGGTTTCACTTGGATTTGGTCTTCCACGTAACATAAACAACGTAGAAAACCAGCGTCGGAATTGGGGGGAGTCGTAAAAGGATTGGGAAAGATCCAATGATTTAGACTGCGCCACATGGGTTGTTTGAATTTATTCAAACCCACCAAGCGAACAAGTATTTTTCTTCCCACCAATCGGGAAACCTCGATGTCATTGAAAGAGGTTATGCTTATGAGATTGACACAAATGTAAATTTTTTCTCATTCTGCTTATTTCAAGTTGTGGGATTGGCTTAGTACCACCTATTAATCAGGATTTGACCTAGTACACTTGGATTTGTTATAGCCTCTTGGCAAAGTCGATTCATTTGCGTAAATTTCCTGCTATATTCCACAGAGAGAGAGAGAGAGAGAGAGAGAGCATCATGCACAATAGAACCAAATTATCTGTATAACACCCAGACAAGTGTCACAAAAATAGACTAATGAGTCCCATAGTGTTTCAGTAAATGTGGATCCTAAGAGCAATACAAGGCTCCTTCATATGAAACAGACAAAAGAAAGAAAGAAAGAAAGAAAGAAAGAAAAGAAAAGTAATTTGCAATTTTACATAGTTTCCAGATGTAACAATAGATCAAGGCAAGAGTTCCTAGTGCCGGTAATCAATAATGCTTGCTCCATTTCCCAGAGCAAAATGAAGAAAACAAAAAGAGTGGGGCAAAATATTATTTGGTTCTGGTTGTCAAAAGTAGAAGGCAATTCAATGAATCCATAGAAACAGCAGAGTTTCTCACCATCTTTCTCTTGACCTTGCCCTGCCAAACAACAAGAGCCAATACATCATATGCATTTTGAGGCATTCAGGCATTCACAACCAAACTTTAGTTCCAAAAGTACCATAATATGCCAACTTCGAAGGGAAAAATTTAAGGTAAACTAGTGGAGAATACATACATTGCAAAGCATAACAGATCAAGTTTCTTCCTTAAACAGGTTAACTTCCTCCCTATGACTGTAAAAAGGAAAGAGAAGAACACATTATCCTCACCTGCCCATGTCTCTGTTCCCCAGAAATCCTC